CGAGAAGCTTAAGGAGGTGCTTCAATTTGCTGGCCGACACAGGTGTGTGTGTGTGTGTGTGTGTGTGTGTGTGTGTGTATGTGTGTGTGAGTGAGTGTGTGTGTGTGTGTGTGTGTGCCTGAGCTGGTTCCTCTCGTTTTCACCCTTACCGCTCCCCTCGACCACCATCGCGCAGGCATCTGCATGCGCCGGTTCAAGCGGGCGCGAAGGAAGGCGCCTCCTCTGTCGATCTGTGGGACATGGAGTTTCCAGAGACAGAGCGCGATCCACAGCAGCAGCACATCCGCGCACACGCGCGAGCGCCCACGAGCACGCGCGTGGCAGACGTGCGTATTGTGCCGTCGCAGTCGATTCGCCCATCGCAGCTCGTGGACAGCACTGCTACGACTGCTGCTGCTGCTGCTGCTGGCGGTGGTGATGACAATCATGGCAGCGATGACAATGGTGATGGGAAGACCCACGACCGCGATGGCGGAGAGCAGGAGAAGAACAGGGAGCGTGGTCTGCTGGCGGACGCGTTTGATGATGCGGACGACTTTGCGTCAAGCACCAACACCACCACCACCCTGTTGATGACGAGGAGCAAGCACACAGGCAAGCCACGGCAACAGCAACAGCAACAGCAACCGGAGTGGTACTCGTCACACCACAGCCATGCACGGGAGCCCGCCCCCAAGCGTGGTAAGCGCCAGTACAACAGCAACAGAACTGATGGTGATAATGACAATAACGGTGGTGGTGGTGGTGCTGTTGATGCTGATGTTGATGATCACCCGAGCACCCCCTCCTCCCTCTCGTCATCCCAGCCAGTACCGCAGCACGAGGAACAACAACAACAAGCGCGGCACACGCGCCCGCGTGGATGGATACAGGTCCAACCAGAGGACCTTTGACGCGCGTCCATAGTGGTTGATTGGGGCGAAACGCTGTGTGCGCGCGTGACCTCGAGCGAGGTGTTGGTGGGGGTGGTAGGAGGGTGTTGACCTTTGCAATGTGCCTGCAACGTGTTGCTCTTATACAGTCGACAGGTCAGGTTGTGCAGTCGACAAGGGTGACAGACCGTATTTAAGCAATAATAAATATGCTTGTAATTGGAAAGCAGATAGGAAACCGGAGCCATTGCAAGTGCGTGTGTGTGCGTGTGTGCGTGTGCTTGCTGAAGATGGCTTTTTTGTGTGCCAGGATTGTTTATTGATCTATGCGACGTGTGAGACAGAACGTGAGTCAGGTATCCCAAGATAAAATCAAAAACAACGAAAAGGAACTTGAGTCGGAACAACAAACAACCAAGCAAGGAGGAAACAACAGGGAAGAAAGCGGGGCAGGATCTACACACACACACACACACACACACACAGACACACACACACACACACACACAAAAGCAAGCAAGCTAACGCAAGCTGCACGTGCGTCAGTCCTCGTCAATTTCCTCGTGCTGCAGCAGCGGCCCGAGAATGTCGTCGTGGTCATTGTGGTGGTGGTGACGATGGTGGTGGTGGTGGTGACCGGTATCATGGTCATCGCCGTCTCCACCGCTGCAGCGGTCGTGCGCACCCTGCTGCTGCTGCTGCTGCTGCTGATGGCGATGATGATGCTGCTGTTGGTGGTGGTGATGGTGGTGGTGGTGGTGTTTCTTTGACGCTTTCTTGCTTGGCTTTTTGCCTTTCTTTCCTTGCCCTCCCTTCTTGCGTCGCTGCTGCTGCTGGTGCTGTGTGCCCTTGCCCTGCTCGGCGTCTGTGGCCATGCCATATGCATCCTTGTCACCTTCCTTGTCCGCAGCCAATGGTGTGTTTGTCTCCCCACCGTGCTGGTGCGCTGGTGCGGAAACCGAGCCATCAGTGTCACCACCGTCATTGTCATTCCTCAAAGGCTCCCCTGTTGCTCCTGCAGCTGTTGCTGGCGCGGTTGGTGCTGTTGGTGTCGTCGCAGTCTCTGCGTCATCGTCACCATCATCACCACCACCATCATCGTTGCCGCCATTGGCATTGCCGTCGACACGCGGTGGCAGCATGTTGTGAAACGCAGTGCTGTTGGTGATGGTGGCGTCCAAATCCAAACCGTTGAGCGCAGCGCCCAACAGTCCAAACGACACAACACCCGACTCATCACCAGCAACATCGTCAGCGTCAGCGCCGCGGATGCTCATGCGGTACTCGGCAGCGCCACCATCACTTCCATCGTCAGCATCATCGTCGTCATCATCGTAGTCGTCGTCGCCATACAAGGGGAAGGCGGTGGTGTCTTGTGCAAGCAAGTTGAGGAGCATCTGGCTGGACGGCGTTGGCGAGAGCGATGGGGCGTTTGCACGCTGGAACAGCAGCATGAGCTTGGCCGCTTCCTCAAACAGGGAGGAGGTGGTGTCGTCGCCTTGCTGCGCCAGCTCTTGCGCATGCAGCGCCATGCTGTCATGTGGGAATGAGGACGGGAGAGGTGGTGTGAGTGGGATGGAGTGCAAACGCAAGTGACAAGGAGAGAGGGAGAGAGAGAGAGAGAGAGAGAGAGAGTGTGTGTGTGTGTGTGTGTGTGTGTGTGTGCGAGTGTGTGTGCGCGAGTGATTGAGTCTCTATGTGTGTGTGTGTGTGAGCACACAAGGCACTACAACATCACTCCACCACAGCACCACAAGACATGTCAGCGTACCGCATCCAGGATTGCATGCCGAGCGGGCGTTCGTCGTCTGAATCCTCCAGCATGTAGTCATCGGTGCTGTCGCCACCGTCGCCAAACAGCCCGCTGCCGTCCGTCTCCGTGCCCTCCTCTTCCTCTCCATCACCGTCTTCCTCAAACCGCCGCTGCCGTGCGCGCCAAGCTGCACGCGCACCACCGCCGCTGCCATCACTGTCGGCAGCGGCGTCACCGTCATTGTCATCATCGTGTGTGTCGAGCGTGATAAGACCATCGGGCCCAACGTTGACAGCAACGGCGTTGGCGGGGAGGCGGCGGCTGCGGCGGCGGCCAAACCGCAGCCCCATGCCATCATCATCATCATCATCAGCATCATCATCATCATCATCATCATCGTCGACGTCGTGGCCATCGCCTTGACCACGATTGCCATTGTCGCCGCCGCCATCACCACCGCTGCTGCCACTGATGCCGGTGGTCACGTCGCGGGCAGGCCGAATTCCGCGGTGCCTGGCGCTGGTGCTCGGAGATGCCTCGTCCTCGTCTGTGATGAAGATGCTGTGGTAGGACAGGAGGTCGCCTTGGGATGACCACACCATCGCCGATCGAAGGTCCTGCCTGGACGGCAGTGGGCTGTTGTGAATCAGGTCTGCAGGGTCGCTGCCAGCGCGGGACCGCAGTGAGCCGCCACGACTACCACTCCGCCGCACCGTCACACCGCCCTTGTCGCCGCCACCGCCACCGCCGCCACCGCTGCCACCGACCACACCCAATGCTGCGTCGTCGCCAAGTGGGCCCCTTCCAAGGCTCTGCTGCGATTCGCTCCGCCTTAGCCACGCCGCCGCCCACGAGGGCAGCCGGTGGCTCCCGAGCAGGCCGCCCTTGCGTCCTTTCTCCTCACCGCTGTCGGCAGCAGCACTATTGTTGCCGTCTTTGCTTTTGCCATTGCCGTTGTTGTTGTTGTTGTTGTTGTTGTTGTTGTTGTCGTCGTCGTTGGCGTTGGCGTTGCTGCCCTTTGTGGTCGATGACGCTGACGCTGTTGCTTCAACCGAATCAGAGGTTGCCTGGCCAGCACGTCTCTCCTTGGCCAAGCGACGCTGCCGCCGCCGCCGCTTCTTCTGCTGCGAGCGCGACAGTCGCTTGCGCGCGGAGGATGGCTGCTCGCCAGAGGCCGCGGCGGTGCTAGCGTTGGCCGTGCCGGTGCTGTTGTCGGGCGAGCGTGTGGACGCGCGCCTGCGCTGTTTGTTGCCGCCTTCATCGCTCGTGGTGTCGACGGCGTTTTCATCCTCGTTGCTATCGCTGCTTGTGCGGCTGCCCGGACCACCACGACCATCGTCGTCACCATCGCTGTTGCTGTTGCTGTTGCTGTTGCTGCGATCGCTGGAGGGCGATGCACCGTGGCTGCCATGCCGCTTGTTGTCGCTGTTGTTGTTGTTGTTGTCGCTGCTGTTGTTGTTGTTGTTGTTGTTGTTGTTGTTGTTGTTGTTGTTTGCGTCGCCGGCAAAACCTTCGTCGTGGTGGCCCTGGTCACTGGCGTTGCGCAGAACGCCGTTCCTCTGCGAGCTCCTGCTGCTGTTGTTGTGATTGTTGCTGTTGCCGGCAGTGTCTGCTGCAACGAAGCCGTGCCAGACCTTCCATGCCACCGCACCGGCTACGCCGACAGAGGCCGCAAGCGCCACCAGCGTCCATGGGCGCTGTGATCTCAGCCACGTGGTAGTGCCAGTGGTGGTGCCAGTGGTGGCGGCGTCCCCGACAGCACCGGGAGAAACAAGGCCCATGACAGCAGCACCCTTGCCCGCAAGCCAGTTCCTGCTGCCGTCTTGGTTGTTGCCTATTCACATCACATCAAGCACATCACAAGCAAACACACACACGCACACACGCACAAGTCATTGATGAGGCACAACTATGGCAGACATCAATCAGCGTCGTGCAAGTGCGTCACAGTGCACGAACAATTGGGCGCGTGTATGTGTGGTGCGTGCTGTTTGTGTGTGTGTGTGTATGTGTGGTGCGTGCTGTTTGTGTGTGTGTGTGTGTGTGTGTGTCGTGTGTGTGTGTGTGTGTGTGTGTGTGTGTGTCGTGTGTATCTGTGTGTGTGTGTCGTGTGTGTGCATGGTTGATCGCATCAAGGGCGTGCACAAGTCGTGCAATCGTGTGCAAGTGGTGCGTGTCACATGCATCATCCATCATCCATCACCGCCATTACCCATCACCAGCAGCACGAAAACATAGACACACAACATTCGTGATCATGATGGCCATGACATGACACATTACCAACGAAAGTCGACAAGCGCAGGTCATGAGCAATCATCAATGTCACATTATGTTACACACACACACACACGCACTGCGTGCATGCCACCCCAACATGGTTTGTGACACATGCACGCACTCGTGTAATGCAGCCTGACAAAACCAAAACGAACCTCTTGGGTTGGTTGGTTCGTGTCGGCTTGGGTCCGCGCGCGTGTGTGAATGTGTCTTGGTTATGAACAAGAGTACGGAGGCAGCGACACCACAGCGGAGTCGTGTCGTCGTCGTCGTCGTCGCCTCGCCTCCTCCTCGCAAAAGCAGTTGTGTGTGTGTGAACAAACGCCTTTATTCTTTTGCTTCTGACACATAAATAAAAATCGGCTGGACGAAAAGTAAGTGAAATTTTCGATAAATTATCTCACCTTCAAGGCAGCTGCAAGGGGTGGCGTTTTGCTTGGGCCATGACGTTCTTGCAAGCAAGGCCAAAGCAAGCAAGACTGACAGCGGGCTTGCTGCAGCTGCTGGTGTGTGAAGTGGTTGCGTGCCCACACTGCATTGTTGTGTGGCGCGCGCTGATTGCTGTGATGTGACACACAACCACGAGCAAAGCAAGCGAGCAACATGGGTGGCGACGCAATGCACTCAGCCGCTTTCTTGGTAGCCAACCAACCGTTTGAGACATTGGTGATCGTTGTGGCGCTTGCCATCTTGGCGACGGACGTAACGAGAGCTTTCTTCATGTGACATACTCATACATTGTGAGTGACATGATGTGAAGCCCGTGTGAGTTAGGCTTGTGTTTCTTGTGTGCTTACTCGTGCACCTGAAAGCTTTCGTCAGCCTTCTCTCATCAGCATATCACTGGTGGTGCAGCAACACGCACGAACCACCGTGCTCTTCCCAGGCCTTCCCTTGTGTTTATGCCCTGATGGTCTTGCACGTTGGCGCACAATCATTTTCATCATCACCATCAGCATCAGCCGCTGTCACACACCTGCCGCAACACACTGCATACACACACACACACACACTTGTGCCGGCCCTCTCTCACGCACATACACATACACGTACACGCACACCTTGCTGTTGGATTCTGACACCACCTGATACAGCCACACAGCACCGACCAGCCCTTCGTGTTCTTTTGGGCTTGTTCCTCCCCTTTCCTGCAGCCGTTTGGGCCTATCCCGGTCTCTTTTGCTCTGACGCAGGCGCTCGAGGAAGGACCATCATCCAGCAGAACAACAAGGAGAGGAAAAAATCCACACCTTCCCTTCCCCCGAACAGCTCACTCGCACACACATCCCGCCCAAGCCTCAACCACGCCAATCCAATCCAATCCAACCACACAGGCAGCTTTTCACCTGACACAGACATCGACACGACACGACATCCCCAAGCCATTCCAAAAAGCCGGTGGACCTAGCAAGCCAGCGGGCCTTGACCCAGTTCAGCGAACGTGCTGTGCTGGTCGCGACCTCCTTTCCTTGTCTTGCTCTTGCGCAGCAGCAACTCAACCAACCCAACGGATAGACACTGCGCCGCGTCTCATTCGCTCTCGCACCTGACCTCGTGTGTGCGTTTCTGCGACGACTTTGTCAACTTCATCTCGGCACACCATCAACCGACCAACCAACCACCAGCAAGCCCTCATTTCCCCCCAGTGCTCGTCGCCCGCGACACCACCACCACCAGTGGAGCCTTTTATTGGCGACAGCAACCACAGCAACCACACAGACTCAACAGCACATACACGTGTACACATCACAATGCCGCCTGCGACAACAGCGAATGCTGGCTTCTACGCCAGCATTGATAGCTTGCTCCAGCCTGAACCGGTACAAACCGCATCGTTTGGCTCGCTCTCCAAATCAGAAGAGTCCCAGGAATGCCCCATCTGCCTCGATCCGTGAGTATCCACAAACACCATGTGCTTGCGTACATGTGTGTGGTGTGTGTGTGTGTGTGTGTGTGTGTGTGTGTGTGTATGTGTGTGTGTGTTGTACAAGGCACAAGCAATGCTGGTGTGTGCAGCTGTATGTGAAGTGCACACAGCTGTTCGGTAGAGCTGTTGCGTCGTCTCAAATTCCGCCATCCCTGTTCCCCGCAACTCACACAACACCTTGAACATCCCCCATTTCCAACGACGCGCAGGGATTGCGACCAGCGCCTGTACCGCCTGAAGGACTGCGGCCACGTTTTCCACAAGGACTGCCTGACAGAGTGGCTGCAATGCCAGACCACGTGCCCGCTGTGTCGGGCCATGCTGCACGCCGCCATCGAGCTTCGCTACCGCGGCCACTACAGCGTGGAGAACAAAAGCGCGACGCCAAAGGCCATGCACTCGCTCCTGCACCGTCTCATCGACAAGGTGGCCAGCGCCGGCATGTTCAGCAAGTTCAACCGGTGCGTGCGCGGCGGGTTCAACTGCGACTCGACTAACATCATCTTCACCACGCGGGAGGGCCTCTCGGAGGGGCAGCCACCACGCCACGTCGTCCGCCTCTTCAAGCGCAGCGACCCCTCCCCCGAGGACAGCGTCAACATCGACCTGGGCAACATGAGGGAAATCTACTGCAGAGGGCGCTACTGCCTGCTGGCGTCGTTTGTTCCTGGTCAGGGCACAGACCGCTATCGCGTGCATGTGTTTGACGCGGGCAACTCGAACCGCGCCGCTGCCGTCTTCTCGAAACTGCGCGAGGTGTGCGAGCCGCGATCATACATCAGGGGGGTGCGCTACGAGTGAATTACGAGTGGACGCCTTTTTTTTTTTTTCCCTCACGTCCCTTTGTCGTTCACGAGCATGCTTCATGCATCTGCCACCCTTTCGCTTCCTCCACCCTCCCACTCTCCTCTCTCTGTGTGAGCGCGCTTGCCCCGCTGTTTATATCTAAAGGTTGGTCATTGGCTTGTGGTGGCTGTTGTGATGGTTGTCGCACACGCTTTGATGATGGCCTCCCCTCCCCTCCCCGCCATGAACTTTGATTTGATGGTCTAATGGACGTGTCGTGTACGCATGCGTACGCGCACCTCTTCTTGTTGTATCGTGATAGTTGACAGCATAACTGACTGCTCTTTGGCGTGCGCGCGCGCGTGTGTGTGTGTGTGTGTCTCCCACCCCAAGGACGCTTGCTTGCCTTGACCCCTCCCTCGCCCTTGTACATATGGTCTGCGATGTTGGGGGTGGCTCTCCTTGTCTCTCGTTGGTGGGGTCGCGGGTAGATGATGCCTTGATGGTGTGAGAGAGTGTGGCTTCGTTGTGTGTTTGTGGTGCTTACCAACATCTGTTACAGCAACCGCGTGCACGTCTACTGCTTGTGTTATTTTTTCTTGTTCTTGTACTGCGCGTGCGCCAGGGTGTGTGTAAGGCGCATATCATAGAAAAGGAAACATTCAGCATCGAAAGTCACTGTGAATTGGCACGCATTGTGTGTGCGTGTGTGTGTGTGTGTGCGTGTGTGTGTGTGTGTGTGTGTGTGTGTGTGTGTGTGTGTGTGTGTGTGTGTGTGTGTGTGTGTGTGTGTGTGTGTGAGGGAGTGTGCGACGCAGGATCAAGTGGCCCGTCAGAACAATAACATGGGCAACTCACACGTGTGCATGCATGCATGCCCGCAAAATCACATACGTCCCCACCCACACACTTCTGTGCTATCCTCAAATGGGAGCAGAGACGCGCGCACACACACACACACACACACACACACACACACACACACACACACACACACACACACACACACACACACACACACACACACACACACACACACACACACACACAACACATACACACACACACACACACACACACGGGCGCGTGTCAACTGACCCTCCTTGCTTCGACTGTGGCGCCGATGCCTTTGGCGCGGGAGAGCGACTACGGGACCGACGACCACCACTTCGTCCACTGCCACGATCACTCGAGCGCTCGCCTCTGTGTCTGTCGCGGTGTCCCCTGTGTCTCCGATCATCCATGTCTGCATCGTGGCGGTGATGGCTGCGTCGCCTGTCGTCGTCGTCGTCATCATCGCGATGATCATCGTACGGGCTTCGACCACGACCACGCGACCTGTCTCTGTCTCGGCCCCTGTCCCTCTCGCGGCTCCGACTGCGGCTGCGACGTCGATCTCTGTCTCTGTCCCTGTCCCTGTCCCTGCTCCTGCTCCTGCTTCGCCTGCGTCGGCGATCACGCTCTCTGCTGCGGCTGCGGCCTCGTCCCCTCCTGCGCCTGTGTTTGTCGCAGTCGTCATCGTCGCTATCATCTCGCCTGTCTCTCGAGCTCCTCCTCCGCCTGTGCATGTCGCGATCATCTCTGCGGTGGTGATGGTCGGCATCGTCGTCCTTTGACTCGCGTGCGTCTTTAGATTGGCGCGGTTCGTCTCCTTGTCCTGCCTCCTCGAGCTCCCTTTGCTGCTGCTGCTGCTGCTGCTGCTGCTGCTGCTTGAGTTCTTGCGCTCGCTTCTTCTTCTTCGGGTTGATCCAGCGGCCAAACTCGTCTTTGACCAGCGTGAACTCGCGCGGCTGCTGGTTTCGCTTGATGTGCTCGCCCGTGTCCGCGTCTGTGCTGCCGAAGAAGCCCTGCACGCCCCAGCCCACGGTGCCGCGCGCCCATCCGCGATCGAACTTGCCCCGCTTCACGGGCTTATCCCCACGCACAGCGTGTGGCGCGTCAAACTTGCGGTGCTTCTGCATATCTTCAGAGAAGTCATCCCGCTCACACCTGCAATGCGGATTGTGTGTGTGTGTGTGTGTGTGTGTGTGTGTGTGTGTGTGTGTGTGTGAAAATGTGTGGGGATGCATGTGTATGTGAATGAGAGAGAGAGAGAGTGTGTGTGTTAACCCATCCATACGACGGCAACATGCCTTCTAGCCCAACGAAGAGGGTTAACAATTCACCACGTCGTGTTTGAACACTACCTTGGTGTTTCCTGGTCCACGACAGGGACAAACTGCCGCGATGAAGAAGACATGGCGATGACGGGCTGCGGGTGGTGGATGGTGTGTGTGGATGGTGTGTGTGGTGTGCTGTGTGTGTGTGTGTGGTGGTCGTTCGTCTCCTTCACGTTTGCCGAAATTGCACAGAATCGGCAACAACGGATACACAGAGGACGACAGTGGAAACAGAAGCAGCGCCACAACAGCAGCAGCAACACTCAACGAGGCGATGAGCGTGGGGCGGTTACAGGGGTGGCTGCAGGAGGCTGGTGTGGGGTTGGTGGTGCTGTTGCAGGTGGCGCTGCTGCACATTGCGTTCTCATATACCAGCGCGAGGACCCGCGGTAGCGTGCCGTCCCGGTTTATGACGGTGGTGGTTCACGATGTTGCTGCGGCGCTGTTCTTCGCCGCGTCCATCTACAACCTGCTGCGCGTCATCGCTGCCGCACCCGTGAGCGCGCAGCGCAGGCATGATGTTCCAACCCAGGTCACCCGTGTCGCGTCCTCGGGACTTCCGACTGCTCAGTACACAGCCAACCTTCAACCACGGTCAGTTGCAGAAGCATAGATAAAGAAAGAGAGAGAGAGGAGGGAGGGAGAGGGAGAAATTGCGTGTGTGCGTGCGTGTGTGTGAGTGTGCGAGTGTGTGTGCGTGTGTGTGTGTGTGTGTGTGTGTGTGTGTGTGTGTGTGTGTGTGTGTGTGTGTGTGTGTGTGTGTGTGTGTGCGTGTGTGTTTGTTTGTTTGTTGACCTGATGCTGTTGCGGCAAGAGCGTGGTCACCAAGTTTGCGCTCACACGACGCTGCTCATTGCTTTCTCACACTTGGATCTACACATGCGTTGCAAAACAACAACTTCACACGCACACATGCACACGTAACCAGGATCGCGCAGGCATTCACGGCACTGACGCAGGGGAGCAACCTGAAAACGTTTGAGCTGCGTCACTTGATTCGCTTCTACTTGTACGGTGCCGCCTTTGGGTTCTTCACGGGCGCCTCCACGCTCGTCGTCATCTACTCTCAACACGGGTATGTTGTGTGTGTGTATGTGTGTCTGTCTCTGCGTGTCTATGTGTGTGTGTGTGTCTGTCTCTGCGTGTCTGTGTGTGTGTGTGTGTCTGTCTGTGTGTTGTCGATGGTGTTGTCGTTGCCCGTGAGGTTGTGGCACATGTGCGTGCGTGTTGATGGCTTGTTTGACCCAGTGGTTGACAGGACACTTTAACTTCGCATGACGCCTTCATTCAGGTTAAAAGCGTTCACGCTGAGCACGTTCATGGCCATCGCATCGCCCATGGCCATGCTCTGGCAGGACGAAAGCACATGGGTACGCGTACATGTGTGTGTGTGTGGTGTGTGTCTGTGTGTGTGTGTGTGTGAGTGTGCGTGTGAGTGTGTACATATGTGTGGCTGATATCTGGTGGTGGTTCCGGCATGAAGGAGGTGCCGCTGGTGTCCGTCGAATGCCCTCACACCCCGTACGCTCCGCCTCCCTTGCTCTGCTTTCCCTCATCTGCTCGCTCATGCACCACCACTTGCTGTATTAGTTTGACCATTACGTGGCGTTTACCACGCGTCTCGCCTTTGCCCAGTTCATCCTATGCGTCGCCGGCCTCATTTACCAGGTGTGGTGTGTGTGTGTGTGTGTGTGTGTGTGTGTGTGTGTGTGTGTGTGTGTGTGTGTGTGTGTGTGTGTGTGTGTGTGTGTTTGAGTGAGGTAGCGCCCAGTTACAATCATGCGAACACGCACACACATATACACACGCACACATATATACATACACACATGCACACATGCACATGCATACACAACGCACGGACATGCTGCACCCATGGCAGTCTCAACCCCCACTGGTTCTTGCACCCCCTTCACCCTCCACTGACATGTCGTGTCACGTGTGCCAGTTCCAGAACATTCTTCGCGGCGGCACCACGGAACTGCCGGCCAAGCACACCATGCAGCAGCGCTCACTCACCTACTTTGCAGAGGTGTTTATGTGTGTGTGTGTGTCTGCGCGCGCATGTGTGCGTGTGCGTGTATGTGTGTGTTTATGTGTGTGTGTGTGTGTGTGTATTGGGAGAGGATCTTACTCTCACATGCCCTCTCGCCCAGTCGGCTTTGTGCTCATTGTGCCTCACTCTCACTCTCGCTCTCGCACACACACACACACACACACACACACACACACACACATGACGTGTTCAACGTTGGCCCCTGTAGGTGTTTGGCAAGTCCGGGTTGTACACGTGGTTCCTGCCGGCTTGGTTTGACGCCCCCATGGACAGGGCTGAGCTCACACACCAGGACAAGGTCATTTAATAACGCCAGCCAACGGCATCGGCAACCAACGCACAAACGCACGAACACACGCATGCAACAGTAATGATGAATGACATGTCATACAACGCATGCAAACAAACAAACAAATAAAACACACACACACGCACAAACACAAAACATACATGCAAAAACACACACACACACAAAACATAAGACGTACTGTACTGCATGGGTTGTCTAAGCTTGTTACTTTCATTTGCTTGGCTTCTTGTACCTCGATAAAAGCGCAACAGAAACAGCTTCACCACCTTCAACATCATCACCACCACCATGTGTAACACGTGCACCAAATCCCTCAAATGCAACGACCGACCAGGAGTGAGGGAGAAGGTGAAGGACTGCACCGATTGCACCAACAACGAGCACGGGCGAATAGAAACAGACACAGCAGGTGGCTGCAACTGGTGCGGTGCTCCAGCAATGACGTGGGGTGCTGTGGTTGTAACAACCGGAGAAACGCTGACACGCACACGCAACGGGCGTCGCGCGGGTGCTCACCCACACGCTTGTCTCACGCACTCACGCCCTCGCACGCTCTCCATCTCTCTATCTTTCTCTCCTTCCCTCTCCCTCTGCTTCCAATCCCTCACCACCTCTCCTAACACCATACAGCCCGCCCGCCCACCCCCACCTCAGCCCTGCGTCTGGTCTCCCTCCTCACCCCTGCTCGGCCCCTCGTCACTTGTGGTGCCCGGCGACCTGCTCTCCTCACTCTTGTCACCATCAGCACCATCGCAATCACGCTGCCGTGCGTGTCCACTCTCGCCGTCGCCGCGGCACTGCAGCTGCACGTGTGTGAGCGGTGCGCGGATACCGACCGACCGCATGAGCGCCAGCGTCGCGTCCACGTGCGACACCGCCACCTCGTGCTCGCGCTCCGCCAGCACCACGGCCTCCGCCGCGCGGCAGTCGAGCTGCTGCATGCGCGCGTTGATGAGCGCCATCTGCAGCGGCGGCAGCGACGGGTTGAAAGCGCAGTTCTCCACGTAGCTCCCGCGCACGTGCTTGTCGCCAATCACCAGGACCAGACCCGCGTGGGAGAGGGTGTGGGGCGAGTACGACGCCTCCGCTGCGGCCACGGCGCTCTCCACGGCGGCCTTGGGCGCCACCGCCGCATCCGCATCCTTTCCGCTGCCGGGCACCACTGTTGGCGCAGCCAGCACGCGCAGCGGGGTCCTTGGGTGGGAGAGAAAGTGGATGGGGTCTGCGTGAAGGTCCGAGGGGCCAAAGCTGTGCGGCAGGAGCGCCTCAAACTTCAGCGGGTCGTGGTTGTCGACGAGGATGGTGATGTCCTTGGCGTTTGGGAGCTCGTTGATAAACTGGCGGCAGTGGCCGCAGGGCATGGCGGTGATGGCGATGGCCCTGACGGCCTCCTCGTGGCCAAGGAACGTGTTGGCCAGCGCGCACTGCTCCGCGTGGACGCAGGCGGCGATGCTCACACGGGTGTGCTCGTTGTTGGCGCCGAGGTAGACATTGCCCGAGGCGCCGAGGACGGCTGCGCCGACGTTGAAGTTGCTGATGGGTGCGACGGAGAGCGTCCGCGCCTGGGGCAGGAGGGCGCGCAGGGCGTCTGTGTGCGTGACACCGGCGCGGGAAGTAATGGTGTCAAAGTCTGACGCGGAGATGCGCCAGGCCCCGCTTAGCCCCATGGTGTCCACAAAATGGGCCACGCGCTGCGGGGCGCTCAGAGTAGCGACGTCAAGCGACATGGGCGTTGGTGTGGGGGTGTTTGAAGATGAGCCGGAGCAGCAGCAGGTGGTGCAGGCCGTCGAGCAGCAGGAAGAGGCGGCTGAGGGCCAGCAGGAAGAGGAGGAGGAGGTGGTGGTGGTGCAACTGTTGTTGTTGTTGTTGTTGGTGGTGGTGGTGGTGGTGTGGAGACTGTGTTTTGTTGCTGCTCTTGTTGTTGGTGGTGCTGGTGGTGTTGTGTGAGATTGTGATGAGGTTGGGAGAATGCGCTGGCCCTTTGTTGTTGCTGTGCTTGTGGCAGTGTCCATGTTTGGTTGTGGTTGAAAGAAACAAGCAAGAAGCAAGCACAGCGGGAAGAGTCAGACCAAAGGAAGAGAAAAGGAAGGAAAGCAGAAGAGAAGGCAAAAAGAGGAAGAGCAGGTGGGGGGAGGGACAACAAGCGACAACGGAAAACGATGGGCGGACGCGTCGCAACCACGCAGAGACAGTGGAGTGCACGCAAAGCTCACGCTAACGGAGCTGGTCACGACAAGCTGCTAGTGCAGAAAGAGAAGGCTGCAAAAAAAGGGTGGCACGTGTGCGGTTCTGCGTTCAACGAGTGCTAACACCGGGGACAGCTTTCAAGAAACATAGGCAATCATCGACAATGACTAACATTCGGCGAGCGAACGACTCGGGACACACCGAAGACCCTTTGAAAGGATCGATAACTGATTGAGAGACAACGCAACCCCCTTAACGTGACGCGCCAAGCCAACGGAGCCAACGATCACCGAATGCTTACGTAGGCACACAACAGCTGTGTGGGGAAGCAGCGGAGAGAGACGTGCAGTTGTGTGTGATACAGTTGGATATGGCAAGCAAGCAAGCGGCCAGAAAGAAGAGAGGAAGCACAACAGCAGGGCGACCACCAGCCACACACACGCACACACCCCGCGCCAAACAAGAGCAAAAGCAAGAAGGGAGAAAAAAGGCACGTGAATTTCAGTTTATGGTGTTGTGCCCTGTTATTGGGATGTGTGTGTGTGTGTGTGTGTGTGTGTGTGTGTGTGTGTGTGTGTGTGTGTGTGTGTGTGTGTGTGTGTGTGTGTGTGTGTGTGTGTGTGTGTGTGTGTGTGTGTGTGTGTGTGTGTGTATCTAACCTTCTGTGTTCTGTGACTTCCCCCCCCCCAAACTTCCTCAACACAAGAACACACAACACACAACACACATCGCAGCCGAATGGCACTCTCGTTCATGTCTTTGGGTGTATGGACAAGGAGGCGCGTACGAGAGAAGAGAACACAGGAAGAACAAGCTCAATAAGTGACAAGAAGACACACAGCCACTCAAAAGCAAGGGAAGCGAGAACGTAACGCAACAGAACGTAACCGCAGTCATACCTGCGAAAGAGAGAAGTGGAGTAACACAAAGCAGAGTGCAAGCTAATGAGACGAGATGAAGCCGAAGCACGGCACGGTGGAGGGAACAACAGAGCAAAGGCGACACACCACACCAACCTGAAGTGAACGTTGAGGACAACGCGACCTGCAACGACAGCCATGAACGACACCGCACACACAGCGAAGGTATCAAACCAATCAACACCAACAACAACAACGTCACAATCACCACCACCACCACCACCATCACCGAGGCCTTGTCATTCGGGAATGACAGAGTAGTAAGTGCCACTGCCAGCGGATGCAGCTGAATCACGGTTGCTGGTGTCGATTCGGAACGCGCGTGTGCGGGGTATCGTCTCATACTCGGCTTCGCCACCATCTGCTGCTGTCGGCTGCGGCAGTGGCAGACGCTGCCCGTGCAGCCCGTTGCGATGTTCCCACTGCTGCAATTGGGGCTGCTGCAAGTGATTCCGCCCTGGGGTGGCTGTGGATGGTTCGTACAGGATGTTTGCCGTGTGCCCTGGCACGTCCAGTTCTTCGTAGATGTGCTGCGACACGCCGCGCTCCTGTCGCCATTGACGGTGGGAGGATGTGGGGATCGCCAGCCCATAGTCGACTGTGTTCGGCCCGGCTGCTGCTAGTGACGGGGGCGATGGGTTGGTCGTGTGGTCCAGGGCAAGCCTGGTCTGCGAGCTCTCGTGGGCGGTGATGTCGTTGTGTGAAGAGGGGTCGTGCTGGCGGCCTTCAAGCACCAGTGCATAGCCTGCTGGTATCTGGCCCCAAGCACTGATCCCCGCGGGCGGCGGCGATGAAGCTGCCACTCCTGCCGTCCGTACCGTCAGCGACTGCCTTTCTCTTTGCTGTTGTTGTGTGTGCCAGGGGCGGGCGCTGCTTGCTGCGGTCGACTCGTAGGTCATCGGCGTCTTCGTGGTGGGCGTGGTGGTGTACGGTGTGTCCTCTGCTGCAGCTGCAACCGACGGAGAAGGCGGCAGCAAAGCGGTGCTGCTGGAGGATTGCCGGGTCAGCGTCGGCATTGGCAAGAGCGGGGTGATGTTGTTGACGCGTTTTGCAGGTTGTGGGTGCTGTGGCTGCTGCTGTTGGTGTGGCAAGCGAAGGTCTGGCTGCACCCTCGGAGCTGCACGCTTGTTTGGCTTTGCTCTCCCACTGGCGCACGTGGACGCGTATTGTGGCGCGTGGCGCTGTCGCTTGTTGCGGCGCCAAAGCGACGACACGGACAGGCATCCCGCAAGCAGCGCAATGCACACCAGCAGCGGGACCACCATCAACACCGCCCCTCCCACGCTGCCGCCGGGGCAGAGCGGGCACGAAGGCGCATTCGTCGGGCGACTAGCGCCACCACTGCCAGCGGCCACGACCATACCCTTTGCTCTCACGCGCTGTTCCTTGCAGCCGATGGTTGGTTGCCTCTTGGCAAAAGCATCACACCTGCCTGCCTGTAGTGTAGATGGTCAGGAAAAGGGTGGTCGAGGGTGGCGAGACAGGTGCACAGCTGGATGAGGTGCACGCAAGCAAGACAAGGTAGACGATGGGTGAGTGTCGTCGTGGTGTGGTGTGGCCATTCGCTTCAAGCAAGCGAGCCAAGCGAGCGCAGGGGCGAAACACAAACAAAGAGCAACCACGTTCGCTCAGCATGAGGACCTCGTTTGGCGCTCTTTGGAAGGGAGGGTGACCTGATGTGACTTGAGGTTGGAAGGAAGGACAGGACAGGACAGGACAGCAAGGAGAAGGTGTACCAGCGACGCAAAGAAGTATGAAGTGAAGCAAGCGCCTGCCTGCAAGCACACAACAAGGTTGCTTCAGTGTTGTTGTGGGTTGTGGGTTGTTGTGGGAAGATTTTGCGCGCACTCGTCACACTGTTCCTCGTGTTGCCCAAAACCCCCAACAATGATGATGGGGAGGCTGATTCAACGAGGAGCAGCAGCCACTGCTGTTGCGATCACGACCACACGCGCAGCACACTCTGCTGCAAGCTTTGCAGGTCAGCCGCCTGTGTGTGTGTGTGTGTGTGTGTGTGTGTGTGTGTGTGTGTGTGTGTGTGTGTGTGTGTGTGTGTGTGTCGTACGTGGACACGTCGGCCACTTCTGCACATCGCTATACTGATAATACTCAATATTCAATCCGCGGGTGATCTATTTGATCTAATGGCGGATTTTGTCAAAGCAACGTAAGCACCCTAAGGAAATCCTACGACACAAGAGTCTGCAAACTGCAGGACAATTCGATGTCGTGATGGATAGTGTGAAGTCA